TGAAATTTTACTTATTTAGAAGTTATTTGTTACTACTCTGGTATAAATCTCCACATATATTATTACATTAAGGCTCGAAATCTGTTTTGTACCAAATATAAGCTCCTGTCATGCTCAAATACCATGAATGGGGTACCTTTGAATTCAGAATTTCAGGGGGGGGGGGCTTAGGGAATCATATTCTTCACTTTTGTTTTTCTTTCTAAAATAAATAAAGTTGATACAAACATTTTTCTAGGCTTTAATACTGGAACGGTGCAAAGTCTGTTGATCGATACGGGACAAATTAGGCTTTGAAGATTTTGATGCGTACAGCAAGACCCGGATAGTTCCTCAGGGACTATCGAATCCTGCAATTTTAAGCCCAAAACGTACTATTTTTGAGATAACGCAAGGCATAGGGTTCGCATCCACACAACGTTACGTTAATTGTAGTACTGTCATTGATTACATGTCTCATTTCGTCGACTTGAGGTCTCTATGATCGAGAGAGGAGGAGTTTATTTTACTTATCGATGGTGTTTTTGATCGGCAAGCCATATCATCGTTAATTCTTCACCAAATATCAAAATTGAATCACCAATTTCGAAGGCTTCCTTTTACCTCAGGCGGGCAAAATAGTCCAATCGCTCCAAAAATTCAGGCAAACAAGTTATGAAAGAAAACAAACTTTATTTGCGAATAATTAAAATTTCACACACTTTTCCCTTTGTTTATGCCGATGATTATATAAAAGATTACTAAATTTTCTACAAAATGAAAAAAAAAAATCATCGAAATAGGACAATTTTTAGGAAAGATACACCTTATTGAAATTTGTAAACATGTTGGTTCTAAACACTAATGAAGATTTAAATTAATTTTTGTTTCCTTTGTCGATTATATTAATCGATAAAGTAACAATTTATTTCTTTATCTTTTGATACGTTGCATTATTTAATTTTTTTTATTAATTTGGCATTTGATAACGATATGCTGTGGGAATTTTTCGCACGGGCCTACTAGTATACATTAATTATTTAGTGCATTATATGACTTCAGTATCGTCAGTCTCATAAAATATATAATATATGGTTTGGTTTGATAATAGCCGAGAGCCAAAAGGGCATAGAAACCTTTAACCCGGTCTGAGCCACGCCTTCGAGTGTGTTTTCTGATTTCATCTGAATTGTGTAACTAAAACTTTTTAAAAATTGTCCGTATTCTATCGCCTTTGCCCTTTTCGACACCGGTCTGTTCCGGTTCGATAGTTTCATTTGATGTTTTATCGATTTTACACTTTCTAATAAAGTATCGCAACACATCGAACTAATTTTAAAGTAATGTTGAGCGAATTCGAAACGACGATTATAATACGAAATGCATACAATGGATTGCATTTAGCGATTATTTATGACTGCGATATCCCGTTCTAGGTCAGTAGCTTCTTTATTATAAAATATTTTTATATTTCTCTGATGTGTTTTAGTTATGATTATGACTATTAAACTAAAACTACTCAAATTTATATATTTAGATAGCTTGAGTTTCTAATCGTGATTTTTTTTTTTTTTTTAAGGAGGAAGAGACCGTTCATTAGGTTTTAGCTGAAGGGATACCTCACGATTCAGCGCCGTAACTAAGATTTCTACCATGAGGGGCAAGCTTTGTTTTTCCGGCTCCTCATTTATCTCATGCCACTCCCAATAAAAGTGAACATTTTATAGCTAGATTTGGGATAATTTGTTTCGAATTAAATATCATTATTAGATAATATCAATTCATGTTATTTACTGAATTGAGGTCGAAACAATAAATATAAAAGTTCGAAAAATAAAATATATTTTTCACATAACCTAGAAATACTTTTCGGCCGTCCGGGATCTGTCTTGGCCAATCCTCAAAGAAGATTCATTAAAAATGATGTTAAAAAAAAAAAAAAATCTGTCTGGAGGATATTTCTGAAGAGTGCAATTAGGAAGGATAATACTTCACCACTGGTGGACTCTTTTGGAAGCGAACTGTGTTCGTTCGGTTTACTGGGTCTAACAATTCTTTAAAGGGCACGGAATTTTTCTCGCTAAGCTGCAGATGTAGAATGCACCAGATGTACCGTAGACGTCTGAGCTTGACACTGAACTGTAGAGGAAATTGGACTCTATTTTTCCTGAAGGAGTTTCCTCAGATATTCCTCCAGGTCTTAGGGAAAGATGGTGACTTAGCGCATTGAGGTGTTGGTTCCTGAACGTCAAGGTAGCCATCAGAGGTTGGCAAAAAGAACCACACTAGTTCTCCAACAGTACCAGTAACATTCCCATTTTATTTTAATTTGTGGTTTTTACTCGGATATTTATTAGCTCAATAATTCACCATTTTAATCTAGTTTTTGTTTTATAAAATACAAATAAACATGAAGAAGAAATGGCTTCGATTTTATCTGTTACGGTAACCGTGACACTAAAATATAAGTCATATTGAATATTTAATAGTTGACCGTTGCATTATAAAGAAAGGAGATGGTCCGAGGTGGCGGTCATAAATAGGCTAAATAGTGGCAAAACTATATTATTAAAAGCCAACGTTTCGACCAGACTTTGCAGGACTTCTTCAGGGAGGTGTGTTCAGCTAGGAGTTTCACTTAGAACTATCAGTTCAACTTTCAAGGACCATCTCATTCCTTTAAAATATAAGTCGTATGATGTAATGGAAACGTAAATTTTCTAGACATTATTTTCTTCTGAATGCCTTGTGAGTGGATATTTCGAAAAATTAGAAATTGGTGACATAACCTTCGAGATGAAAAAGGTCAAAAATAATTCGATGAAGAAGCTTAGTAGTTTCTTATAAGTTGAATTTTGAACAGAGCGTCGCGTAGAAATTTGTGTACAGTTGGAAAACCTTATGCTCAATTTTTATTTTGCATTTTTTTGTTTTAAAGTTTCTTTCTAAACACATCAAATCATAAATTATCCTCCTAACAAAAAAAAATAATTATTTTTAAAAATGTCGCATTTTACGTTCTGGACGTCAATGAACAAGTCTGGTTTGTTGACAGTGTCAATTCGATTTTCGTTCTACATTAATTTAATTAGATTTCATCCATTACTTCCACTACGAGTCAAAATAGGACTAGTTAAGAAAAAAATGATCTGTAAATTTTATGGATACTTATAATTTTATCGAATTCATTGCTCACTTTGCCTTTAAGGATATAGAATCGTGTTTACTTCTTTATGCTTATATTGTAAAAACGCTCATTCGATTTGATCCAAGGTTGGAATAAAAATGTTTTTTTATTTATTTTAATTAAAATTATAATTTTTGTGAAACGAATGTTAAGATGCATATTTCATTATTTACCAAATAATAACGGTAAAGATATATTGATTTTCTCAGCTGACCTTTTTTACTTTCCTTCCTATACTAGGTAAGGAAAGTATTGCAATCGGGTCAAATTTCCGACATGCGGTTTTCGACGGATCTATACGTTTCAGAGCTCCCTGAGTCCGAAAAAAACATTTTTAGCCATTGGTCTGTCTGTCTGTGCCAAGATTTTCTCGGAAACTACTGAACCGATTTTGTTGCTTCTTTTTTTTATTTTGTAGGGTTTTGACTACTGATGCCTGTGACAGATATTCGGTGCTCCATGCGCGATAGCTTGCGCGCAATAAATGATAAACATGTTTTTCTATAGACTGTAGAGCGAAAACGGCTCTAACGATTTTGATGAAACTTTCCTATAATGTTCTAATAATTGTTCTTTCAATTTTCGTATATAGGCTAAATTCCTGAAAAAAATCAGGAAAAAAATTTAAGAAAAGAAAAATGTTATGGGACCTAACTCCCTAAGTATATATTAGACGGTAAAATTTATAATAAAAAAAAATTATATTAAAACGCCTGTCGTTTGAAAGATTATTCCCTACAATGCCATATAAAAATCGTTCATTTTGGACAACTATTAACGAAGCTACAGCTATTCAATTTCCAATGTAAGATTACTGGTTCTTATCCTGGTGTCAGAAAGGTGTGAATGAGAAAATAAAAATGACTAAGTGAAAGTAAGAAAATCTGTTTCCCGCATCACACAATCTTCACTATTTCCTCTACTTTTAACAAAAATTATTGTTTGACAATACTAAGCTATGCCAAAAAGTTTTTGATCAGCAATATTAGTGAGTATTGAAATTTTTACACTGATTTACCTTAAGCCGGTTTAAATTGCTTTAGTTTATCAAATAAATCTTATTCAAATATTTTCTTTGATCAATTTTCAGGAAAATAAATCTAGTTCTTTTTTGTTTCTTCATGAACATATGTAAAGATATAAAAACTTTTCTTAAATAGGTAGGAAAGTCGTGTGTGGACACACCAGATATTTTTTTTTTTTAAGGAATAGAAGGTATATAACTAACTTCACTAAATGTTTGGTAGGAACAAGGACTAAAATTATTAAAAAATTTCTAATCCTAATTCTAAGACAATATATACCTATTCAAAATCTTGAACATACTGTCTCGTATGTCCGTCTTCAGGACCAGGATTATTATTGTAGTTTCTTAAAAGAGTCGTTATTGAATAATTATTAGAAAAGAAATCTCCATCTTTTCTACAATTCTTGAGAGATCGAAAAGAAAAAAAATCTCTCTCGTGGCATATACATTCAAAAATAAAGTCTGCAAGAAGATTGCCAGAAGAAAAGATGAGGTTGGATTACAAAACTTGGAATGAGCATACAGATTTTATGATGGGACTTGGTTTGCTAGAAGGATGGACTCGAAATAGAAATAAATTCAAGGGGGTGATAGAAAATTTATAGGTTAACGAAACCGAACCCCTTGTTTTGTATAAAAGTCCAAAATAAAAAATAATAATCATATTCGAATTAATATATTTTTTTTTTGTTAAAATTGAATCAGAGGTGATACGAATATCCGACCTCAGTGATACAAAAGCTCGGAGTGACAAGCGGTTTGGCGACACGCCCTTGTGGAAGACAATGAACTGATCCCACTACTCACCTTGTACATGTTGATGATGATGATCTTGTCGACTGAGGACGATGTAGAGAGTGTGTTGTCAGGACTAGAGCAGAGGAGCCTTATATACTACTTCAGTGGAGGGGTTAGCACCCTTACGCAACTGTCAAATCACCAGGTAGCAACCCCGTCTCGTGCCTAGCTCACATTTTGCCTTAGGGTACAGCCTTCTGTATAAGTGGAAATAAATATATATATATATATATATATATATATATATATATTTATTTCCCTATATATATATATATATATATATATATATATATATATATATATATATATATATATATATATAATATATATATATATATATATATATATATATATATATATAAATACAATAATTCACAGAATAAATTATATTAAAGCTTATCTAACATATTCCAACTGTTCTGTCAGGATCCCTCCAATTTTAAGTGTACCTTCTTCATTACAATTCTAAGGTAATTCAAAACCAATAAATATAAAAAAAACTACCTGTTTCAGTATAATAGTTTTTTTTTTTTTTTTGTTGATAACTTTACAGATCTATTTTCTTTCATCTATCTATAATATTTTCTTTCAGCCTTAACCAATCTTCTCTATTTCTGCCTATATTCGGATTCTGCTCTCGAGCTATCAGCATTTGCATCTTAGCAGATTTGATATGTCCAACTGGTTTTTGTCCTTCCACCTCGTCTCTTGCCTATTATTCAGTTTTTTATTGTTGTAAAGAGGCTTCCTGGTGGATTGCCTCGAGATACATGTCTTAACCTCCTTGTCTTTATATATTGATTGACCAGTTTTTGTAGGCAGTTCTTCTTTGGTTTTCCTACTCTATGCGTTATTGCTCTGATCCCAGATCTCTCCGATTATCGTGCTGAGGATATTTCTTTCAAATCTTTCAATAATTGTTTCTATGGCGCTGGTTAGTGCCCAGAACTCGCTTATCGTTCATGAGAACTTTCTTTATCATAGCATTGCACTCTTAATTCGAGGTTTCTTGAAATTTTGCGGCATATTAATACCTCTAAAAGAAAGGAGAAAATTCATTTTGCTCTATCTATACTTCCTTTATTTTATTCTTGATCTGTTCGCAAGGTACTTTATCCCAGAATAAAGTGTTTTCTGCTATTTTTAATAATGCTTGATGTATTACATTTTTAAATAAGAAAGTTTTATATCTTTTTTTTCTGTTGCTATTTCAGACCTTTTAGATCTTTTGCCATCTTAAGCAATCTCCTCCATCCCTACCGATCTTGGGCTATTTCTTTCCAGTTATCTGCATCTGCTGTTTTCCATCCTCGTTGATTCGTTTGTCCATACGATTTTTGACCTTCCACGTGGACTCTTGCCTTCTAATGAGGCATAAATCTTTGTGCTAAGAATAGAGGCTTCTTGATGTATTTCTCTGACCTACATATGCCGTTAATCTTAACCTTGTAGGAATGACCATAGTTAGTGTCTACTTCGACTATCGCACTAGAAATTAAATAAGATTCTGATCGTTAGAAAAAAAAATATAGTTATCTTGCCTGTTTCATATAGAATTTATTGCGTAGTAGAAGAAAATATAGACATTTCGATAATATAGACAATCATTGTCCTTCCCTAAGTATAGTTGAATAGCACGCGTAGGACTCTTCGCACTCAGTAAACTCAATTTTCCCAAATTTGTTAGTTAGAACCTTCTCAAAGCAAAGCCACGAATTGTCAAAGAAATCTATTCAGGATGTAAATATATGGTTGAATGAAAGCTATGATTGTTTGAATAGAAATTTCGGAAAAAAAATGAAGAACACGAAGATGACAGTAATTAGAAAAATAATTATACTAAGGTGGGTAGAAGAATTGATATTTTCATTAACTATCTTAAAGAGAAAAATAACATCTTTTTTGATGCGCCTATGTGCTAGAGAATCAATATTTATATTAATTTTTATATTTCAAAAATGTTTATAATATCGTTGAAAATATCGATTATCGATATTTCAAGTCCGATATTTGTATAGATAGTATCGATAGTTATTGGCCAATATTAATATCTATATTGGACCTTCGAATAATTACCTATAATTATCTCCTTGTCTTTATTGACCCTTCTTCTCCATCCGTTAATATGGAACTCTGAATCCAGATCGCTCCGATAATAATCGGAGATAACTATCTCTCCTGAGCTCATCCCGTTCCTAAATTCATCAGTAGCATTGAGTCAGTTTCTGAATTCATCTACAGTTCCATTATATAGTAGGGTTATAGAATCAGCTGGATGAAACTTCATTGCAATAGTGTTGATATCTCTCATTTTATTTTACATATTTATCTTCAGATTCCGCTGGAATCTAGAATAACGTTCCAAAATTCAACACATATGCAGCTGAGATTCAAGCGATGGAATCATCGCTGAGTTTTAGGAACTTGTCCTAATCGAATTGAATATAATAAAAAGATTACAATATTTTATTAATAGTTACTTTTCAACTTGTTTATTAAAAACATTACTTTATCGTATCATTTCGGCCAATGTTTTTTGAACATTCAAAAAAATTAATCATGCTCTTACTAATTGATTTCTCTTTGATTACATTTTACTGCCGACTTTCGGGCATTTCTAAGCATATTATATATTATATCACATTTATATTCATCAGACATATGGCTGTGTGGTTCGAATTTTTCAAATTATAACATAACTTTTTATTTTTTCTGGGAAGTTGTATGATATTATTAGTTAGCTGGCAATGATTACTTCCAATTAGCAACAATTGAATATATTTGTTGTATTATCAAAATTGCATGTTTACAAGTTTACGTTTCGGGATATTTACTCCCATCTTCAGAACCACAATCCCAATGATCTTGTGGATTCAAGGCTGAACAATTTTTCGAGTTAAAATATACTGCATGTTAGAATACATGTCAGAATTTCGTTGTTACAATAAATTTGTAATTACCTTAAAACTAATGTGCTCCATCGTCAGTTTCTAATTCATATTATAATAAATCTAGGTACATAACATCTAGAGCAACATCTTGCTTTTAGACTAATTATGGGGTGTCTGCCATAGTAGAATACAATAGGCCTTTGGATCTGACTGTTTATTTTAAAAAAAAATATTTTATTCACTTTAAATTAAATTATATATATCTCAGTGACAATAACTCCTTATTATTTTTTTTAGTTTCGCTATCAAGGTATCCTTTTTCTATTTTAAGAATCGCTTCTTAATGGCAGTTGTATCCATTTTCTTTCTTGCCATCAGGTTTTGCGTTGTAGTTTATAGTAGATGCAACGAGGGTGATAGCTAAAGTCATGTTAACTGCCTCTTCAAGTTTTTTATTTAGTCACTTAATTCAGAAAATGAGGTCTTTCGTCTAGCTTCTTTTTGGTCGTCTCCTTATGGACTTATCAGTTGTGGCTTTCTGAACTTGTAATTCCTTCTATGCAGCATTATTACGTAAAACAATTCTCAGAGGAAAAATGGACACTGTACTGAAAATAAATTTGTTTTACTATTAATTATTACAAATGTCGGCACTACTTCCCTTTCGCTACACCGAGATGGCGCCTGGTTTCAAGATCACTCAAACCGCGCTATTTACAGATTCTCTATCTATACCAAAAATGGATGAACTCGAATTGGGTTCCGGAATATTTTATGAGTGTCCACGAGTTGTTTAGCTTAAATTAAACGGCGGGCAGGAGGTTAGTAGTAATAAATTAATAAATAAATTATAATAGTAATAATAAAATATGCATACAAATAATACGAGTAATATGATACAAAATTTTTTTTTATTGCTGGGAGAATTTATATATCTGGATTTATATATCGGAATCCAATTATTTATTGCAATATTTTAAAAATTATTATAGACTCTTATTATTGAGTAACAATAATCTTAAAATGACGGTTAATTTAATATCAGAAGTTAAGCACCGGTAGGTTTCGTCTTCTTTTGGACGAATTCGGATATTTTCGGGAATCTGGGAGTAGCGTGCTCTGAGTGATTTTGAGAGAACTAGCATCAAAATTTGTAATAATTAATAAAAAAAATAAATTAATTTTCAGTACAGTTTCTTATTTACATTTTTATTAATTTAATTAACAATACTTTAATTATTGAAATTAAATTTGTTTTTTTAAATATTCGGTCAGCTGATTTGTATTCGCTACTTTTTCCAACAATTTCTACCGCTAAATATGCAATAGTAAATTTTTACTATATTTAGAAAAAACATTTATAACATAATTAATTTTTAATGAAAGAAGAGGAAAAAATATATAATTTAATTAAGAAAAAAATTCATGAATTAGAAATACTTTGTATGAATTTCAATAATCAGAATATTTTTCCCTAAATACTAAACATATTATTTTTATAAACATACCAAGGCATTATATTGTAACTATGACTACAATCATTCAATTAATAAGTGGCTGAGTATCCTTTCACAGGAACAAGGCTCACTGACGCTACAATGGATCCAGGTACAATAGGTTATAATAAAAACTGATTATGGTAAATTACCAATCACCTCTGTGTGATACAGATTTTTATGTAATCAGAAATCGTAACCTCTATGGTAGAGGATTATGTCTTTATACTTTATTATATTTTTAGTAAAGTGGCAGCATTACTTCCTGTAACGATGACAATTACTCACTTCGATACGGAAGTGATTTTGAATAGGATCGCCGGTTCGCTAATAGAGGGGGCGACCTTTCAGTTGAAGCTGATACAAGATCAAGACATCACTTCCTTTCTCCAACTTAAAAAGTAACACTATGATTTAAAGAAAAAATCAATATAATAACCCTTAATGGAAAAATAATTATATGTCATATAGTTAGAGTGAATAAAGTTTTGAAATTTGATACGTTCTTCGTATATTTAAAAAATATATCACTACAACCTATAAGTTGTGGAATCACCAGAGGAGGTCAACAAAGTTCAATGCAACTATTTTTGGTAATACTAGATCGAAAAATATTAGATACTGGGCTCTTGTTAATAATAAACAAGACGCGTCAAGAAAAAGAAATTTAAAATAATTTTTAACTTTTTTAATTACAGGTCTCGGCTTGGATTTCTAGAATAAGATATAACTATAATTATTTTTTTTCTATATGTATTTCAAATGAATGAGAAATTACAAAAACCAATATATTCTTGAAAGAACTTAGTCGACTGTTCTGCAAATCGTGGGTGATAAATATTCAGGATGCAGTCATTATAAGGTATTTATTAGTGCCGAAGTTTCAACCCAAACATGTGGGTCATCATCAGGGTGTGGTTGAGTATCTTACTTATCTTGAATATCAGTACTTGAATATCTTCAGTGCTCGAACTCTGATGATGTGAGGGTGGTTATAAAAACCTTATAATGAATGTGTCCTGAATATTTATCACCCACAATACACTCTTGTAGTAAAGTGAGGCATGTAAATTTTTGACATGGGAAAACAATTCAGATTTCTTTTTTTTAGTATCCTTTAATACTTTAAAATACGAACTCCTTTCTCCAGTGAACTGCAGTTCATTCATTACTCCTCTGGATTTTTTCCAAATTCATTGTTATTACTACTGCTGAAAAGTTAACTAACTAAAACTACTGCTTTCCCGTTCCATATCAATAACTTTTAGGCTTTAGTCCTTTATGAAAAATAAATTAAGAAAATCTTCTCAAATTTTTTAAGTGAAAACTTCTTTGGGCACGTTTTGCACTTTTTTTGTGGAGAGTGAATTAGATTGAGCCGTCAGATCTCCGAGGTGTAAAGCTGGGGGTAAAGTTAAATTAACTGAAGTGTTTTTTCCATATGGATTAAAATATATCGAAAACTAAAAATTGGACCTGCATGTTGTTAGCGATGGAAATGTTCATCATTTCATCATCTTTGTATCTTGACGTGACGACGTGTTAGAGAGGCGAAAAGGAAAAAAATATTGTATAAAAACCACCAAGAAAAACCAAGTACCAAATGATAACGAATTTTATTGAAGATATGGATTAAAATATCTCAGAAATTAAAAATCGAAACTGCATATGATAAACGAGAGAATTGTTCAGCATTTCTTTCTCTCTGTAAGGGGCTATTAGTTATTATTTATATTCCGTATTATTAATCTCACCTTGTTGATGTTTTCATTTCTATCTTATCTACAGCACACAACTTGGTTTTTTTCTTTTATATTTTCATTTCTAATTTGCTAACGCGGGTCTATTTTTTTTTCATTTATAAGGCCTGAATTCCAACTCAGTATCTTATAGACAGGTCAAGTCGTGTTGAAGTTATTACAATTTTTGTAATTTACAAAAACAAAATTACATCTATCGATTTTTCAAGGTGCGAAATATGATTATCAATTTTTTTCACCTTCAACAATATTGGATCCACCTTGCTTCAGTCGGTAAAAATTGTTTTAATATTGTTTGTACTCATATAGCTTTAAAACATGTTTAAATTTATTTTCTAAGCCGTACGGGTATCTGGGGCATGATTAAATGTAGGTGATAGAGTTTGATATTTAGAAACGTCGGTAACCTTCTATTTACTGCATACTAATATTTACTAAGTTTCTTAAAACAAATGGTGCCCCCTCAATCATTCAAAGATTAGGTATGCCCCAAAAAGGTCTTCCGACTTCAGAATCTATCCAGTTTTGATTTTAGAAAATAAATAAATATCTACTATAGCCGTACTCGTACCCGGTTCTGGGAATAAGAAATCCAATGTCTTACCCATTCAGCTATACAACGCCTATATGTTTAAAATATAAAAATATAGTCTTACTAATACGAAGCACTCTAACAACGGTTCTATAATAGAAGGTCCTGAGGCCATGTTCTTTTCAGACACCTAGGAGGTTTATCAGGAATTTTAGAGGAAATAAGTTTGAACCTAATGGATTCGGTTAGGCCTGGGTTTTGTTAAGGTTAGTATTCTGATGAGATGGACTTGATAAATATCTTGGCCACTCGATACCTCTATAAATTAGTCGTTTATTTTCAAAATCAATCCTAATAGATTTTTATATTAATTGAGATAAATATCGATTTACATGAAAAAACACCTAATGAATCCGATGCTGCAATATCGGTGCAATATATATATATATTTTTTTTTTCAAAAATGAACCTAAATATTTATCAAAATTTCTATATATATATATATATATAGAAAGAAGAGACATTGAAACAACCTATAGTTAAAACCAACACAATTGATTCATCATATTTAATAACAGTCGTCGGTAATGGCCTGAGACGTTGAAGTGACGTTAAGTAAATGCAGTTTAAAAATAAGAACGAAATAAGATAATATATTTTTTTTCATTCGTCTAAGTAACGCCTGCTTGATCAGCCATATAAGCTCTTACTGTCCAATATAATTTTGCTCTCATGTCCTGTAATGCAGGGCATGTATCAAGAAGTTCTCCTGTCATAATATCCAAGGAACACAGAGGGCATGTCGTGCTATCTTTTTTACCGATGCGGTGGAGGTGCTTCTGAAGGAAATCATGGCCTGTGAACAAAATTGATAAAATAAAACAACAATGAATAAGAAAATATTAACTTTAAAAGTTAAACATAGTAACGGAATACTTAATAGTTGACCGTTGTATTACTAAGGAAGGCGATGGTCCAGGATGGCGGTCATAAATAGACTAAATAGTGGCAAAGCTATTTTATAGTCGGGTCGAAACGTTGGATTTTAATAAAATAGTTTTGCCACTATTTAGTCTATTTATGACCACCACCCCGGACCATCTCCTTCCTTACACATAGTAAAATAAACACCTTAAACACTCTTTTAAGTTAAAGTAAAAACTCATTCTCTTTATTGTTTTTATTTTTTTTAAATTGTTTATTGCGAAATATTACATTCTGTTTCAATTAAGGGTATATTTATAATAGAGACTAGAGAGCGCATTCACACCGGTGATGGGCAAATTGTACTCTAGGTACTGAGTACTGGGTGTTTTATTCAAATACAGACCTTTTTTGAGTACCAAAGAATTTAATTACTACTTCAGTTGATGCCAAATGATTAACTGAAACAGTGATTGAATGTCCAATAGTGATACAATTTGAGTAAAATACTTGGTACTCGGTACTTGGAGTAGAATTTGCCCATCTCTGATTTATACTATATTTAGAAATAGAAAATAAATTTATTCTCGGACAAAGTCCCTTTAAAATAAAAAAGTAGAAGATAATTAAAATACTACATCTGGTCAAAATAAAACAATAATAAAAAAGAGAAAGTAAAGAAAATATTAGTTAAACAAGCTTTTTACAAAAAAAATCTATATACAAAACAATTAAACCTATGATAAAACACTTAAGACTATGTACAGTAGGAACAATTATAATTATACTCTTTTGAAAAATAAAATAATAAAAAATACATTGAGTTCTTCTTTAAAATAAGGTGCGTTTCTGCTAACAAAGAAATGACAAAGCGGACAATATAAAATGTCATTGTATTTAAATAATGAATAATATGTAGACTCATCATTGTCAAATGCTAGCTATAGGTACAGATTTAATTATATACGAATAAAAAATAATAAAAAAAACAAACAAACAATAGATGCGGTCAGTGGCATTGAGAGCAGGAAGATATTGTAATATCCCTAGTGAAGTTCACAGTTTAGAATAGTACTATCGTTTGATGATGACTAGAGTAATAGCAAAATATATAAAGTAATAATATAGCAATATAATACATATAAATAACAACAAAATAAAATGGCATGATTTCGACGGCAAGTTAATTACAGTGGTATGGTTACCTATATTTCAACGTAGAACTAATTAGTTTATTGTAGAATAAGGTTCAATAAATATTGTATACAATTTCATACTTGATCAATTATTGGATCAATGTGCAGTACTTTAATACAGTCTCGAAGCTCTATTAAAGTGTAATTTTATAGTGAAATGTCATGCTTTGACCTTTATCATAACTACTAATCAAATTCTGCCAAGACAATATTTGAATGAACCCAAAACGTCGACTCTATTACGTGGATGCGTGGTGACTGCCAAACGCTGTCACAGACTGTACGCCTACAGAATGCTTAATGCTTTCATTGACTAATGACTTCCTATAAACCTATTTAAGTCAGTTGATGTTACGAAACGTTTTTCATTCATGATAACGATAATTCGGAAATATTTTAATACAAATTTTGACGATGTAATGGTACATGTAATGATGTAGGTATGAAAATAATTAGTTCATTTCAGTCGTTTATTTAAAAAATGAGCCCTATAGTCCGTGGTACAGACCCATTTTTATCAAATTATTAACATCTGCCCGAAAGTTCGAAAATAGTTTCATCTCATCGTAACTTACAACTATTTTATTTAAGAAAACTCTTGGAAGGGGTGCGTTTTCAATCTGGAGGGGTGCAAACTTTTTCTATTTGATTAGGTACTAAAAACTCATAAATACTCATTTGCATTTTACTTGGATCCTAAGATAAATTGAATACACAATCGAGAAAAAATATGGCTTATAGAAATATTGGGCCTTTTGGCATATAACCTCGTTATTTTGACGTGTTGGGAGTGTAGATCACACCAAACGGTCCAATATTTTAGAAGGCCACCTTTTTTCACGATTTTTTGATCAGATTATCTTACGATCCAAGTAGAAAGCAAATATGTATTTACAAGATTTTAGTACCTAATTAAATAGACAAAGTTTGTCTCCCCCCCCCCTTCAGATTGAAAAATACCCCAACTTCAAATGTTTTTGTAAATAAAATAGA